AACGACACCAGCAAGTGTATCTACTGTATAAAATGTCACTATGCATTATAATGTTTGTGTCAATGAGCTCGGTTTATTAGGAAGATATTTTATGAGCGAACCAGGCTATAAAAATAATGATTAAACTGAAAATTTGACCTCAAAACCCCCAGCTGTCACTCACCTGTAACACTTCGTAGATGGCTTTCTTGTACATGGGCTGCTTATTGTAAGTTGGTTGGTGAAAGGCAATGTTAAAGGAACTTAAAGGCATGAGTTTCTCTACACAGACCTGCGAAAACACACAGAAAAATTAAATATTTTCACATCATGTGGTAAAAAAAAAAGGTGACAGGAGATTTATAAGAGCAGCTGCTTGAGCAAATACATCAAAAAAAAGAAAAAAAAAAAAAAGCGATCATTATAAAGTGTGCGGTTGTCACTATAAACAGAAGGCCGTTTTGCTTGAAAAAGCTGGAAAATAAAAAAATCCCCAAAAAAATCACCTGACAGCAATATTAACGTTGGCTCTCAGACACTCACCACTGAGAATTTTCCATCTCCAAACCACATGACCCATCTGGTTCCCTCGGCAGCTCGGCTCCGTCCCGTCATCCACCAGGATACGATGCGGCCTGGCCACCACGAGAATCCTCGCAGCTTCCCCCAAACCAGCTCACCGATGCCAAAACCACGACCGTCCTGCAGCCAAAGTAAAAAGACAAATCATCCGCTCTGCATCGAGTTCTGGGCTAAACTGTGAAACCTTTGCTAAACAGTCCGGCTCTGGATATTTTTTCACTTTGGGATGGTTAGATTTTTTTTTAAAAAGCTTATATAAAGCAAAAACATATATAAAACTACTACATACCAATAATTAAATGTGATTAAACATACATATACATAAAGGCTGCAGCTGACAGTTGTTTTTTTCAGTTAATTTGCAAGTTGTTTTGTTGAATTAGTGCCGATTATTTGATTAGAAAATAGCAAAAAAAATGACCACATATAGTCCAAAACTCAAATCTGATTGAGTCTCACTATCACATAAAATATTCTAGTAATAAACAGTTAATAGATTATAAAAATAGTTGCAGTTTTCTTTTTAATTTTCTGTTGGTCAGCGAATCAGTTAAGCTCTGATATACTATAAATAATAACACACTGCAAATAATCCTCAAACTTAATGCATGAATTGCATTAAATTTCATTCTTAAAGGGCAAGTTTGCAGATTCAATGAATATTTAATACAATAATGCATCTGTCTGAGGAACTGTACAAGTGAAAATAGCTGTGTAATTGTAACAGATATTATACTAATATTATATTATTATTATAAAATAAGAGTGTCATGTGTATTTTGTGGAGCTACAATGTTTGCAGTCAGTGAAATATTAAAAACCTGCCAGAAATCATGCAGAGAACTCTTTTATTTACTTGGTTTGATTAGGAAATAGTGAAAAATGGACATAAAACAGTCCAAAGCCCAAATATGATGAAGTGTCGCTATCACATAAAAACAATTTAATCAAAAATGTAACAAATTTTGGGAGAATATTTGGAGAATTTTTTACATTTTCTGTCGGGATGATGTAGTAAAATTAGAATACACTAAAAAATAATCCTCAAACTTAATGCATGAGTTTAATAACATTTTCAATTTAAAGGGCAAGTTTGCAGATTTATTACCATTAAGTCTGTTTGTGGAATTGCATGTGTGACAATAGCTGCGTTACTGTAACAGCTTCGTAAAGTCTGTATGAAGACGGAGAAATAAATTAGGTATGAAAGCATCAGATGCTTCTGTTAAGTTAAATACTGAAACCCGCCATAAAGCACACACACAGAACACTGTGTTTATGCTATATATCACATGAAATGCACTGCAGGTTATCTGGTATTTGTGTAAACTTTCTGAAACTTGTAAAACTCCTTGAACACGAATTTGCATATGGAGGATCAGCCCTGACCTTAAAGTAAAACCTTCTCTCCACCAGACATCTCTGTCGTAAGATCCTGTTCGCTCACAACCAGACGTGAGTCACCCTCGAAAGCGATCTTACCTCGTACTCCGGCTCAGTGTCTGCAGACTTTGGGGATGTCTTGTCTCCTCCTCCGATGGCGACGGGTTCAGGGGTCGTGGCCACGGTGGGGGAAGCTGGGTCAGTAGGCTGCTGCTGCTGCTGCTGCTGTGGCTGCGGCTGCTGCTGCTGTTGCTGCTGCTGTTGCTGTTGCTGAGGAGGTTGCTGATGTTGCTGATGTTGCTGCTGTTGCGGCAGCGACGGCTGTGATTGCTGTTGATACTGAGGCTGTGACTGAGCGTGCGGCTGAGGCTGAGGCGGCAGAAGCTGCTGCTGCTGCTGCTGCTTTGAAGGCTGCGGGTGCTTGATTATTGAGACCTCCTCTTTCTGGGTCTCGGTTTCGCTCTCCTCGTGATCCTTCATTGCGTTCATCGCTGACATCAGTTTGGCCTTTTTCTCTGCCTGAAACAAAGTGAGAGCACAGGTGAGGACGCATCTTTTGGCAGGATGTGGGCAGTTTGAGTTTAAGGCTGGAAACTATAAATTGAACCCGATAGGAACAGAAGGAGAACATCGGACACAATTAGGCGATCGACTGATATGGGATTTTTGAGGTCGATACTGATTATTGGTGCTCAAGCAAGATTAATAACCGATATTTGGAAGAGATTAAATGTGATGTTTTAACAGCATGCAATAGCAGAGAACCTGTCATTCATAACTACACTTCTTCATTAATAAGAATTGAATTTGTAAACTAGAAATAGGACTGATTACATTAGGATGCGTTCAGATTTATCAGTTTGTCTGCAGTTACGTCTGCACTTCCTCTGTTTTCTCAATATTTCTGGCACTTTTATTGCCCACTAAAGATCCAGATCTTAAAGCTTCATTAATTACTGTTTTCCAGACCATAATTTGTGGCTGCCTCCTAACTTAGCCGCTAGCCGTTAGCGTAGCCTTAGCCACTGTGAGCGTAGCTAATTTGCTGGTTTGCGGCAAAGGCTTGTGTTTCTCGTTCGGTTTTTGCAGTCTCTGCTTGAGAGACATTTCTGAGACCTCAGACAGAGAGAGGACGCTGCATCAGACCTGAAGTAGGACATTCATTTAAAATACCAAAACTGATCATCAGAAAAATGCCAGATATCGGCCGTGATAATCGGTCTATCACTTGACACAACATTCCCACTGAAGTTAATACCAACCACAAAAGTAGTAAACAGATTCTAGAAAGCGTTCACTGCAACCTTTGAGAGTTTTCCCCCCTCAGAAGGCCTGCTGCCCAGCCCTCTACCTGCCCCGATGCCGGCCATGCAGGAATCAATAAAGTGTATTACTACCAGATTTAGTATAAGCTCCGGCTTTTAGCTGCACGGCACAAGTGGTGCACCTCGTCTCTGGCGGGTAAATGCAGAAAGGGAGTCTGAAAGCCTTTGTAAACACGTCGTTATCTCAGACTGTGAGGCCTATTCATCAACAGCAGTGTATACAGTAACTCTATAGTGTCCGGAGCTGCAGCGGGAGAGTTCACTGGGTTTGTGGTACCTGACACTGAACCGCTAGGTCGATCAGAAAGGACGAGACGCAGCCGGGACTTAAGCCTCTCGCGGCAAATCCCCAACAGCTGCACTCATTCTGATGTCTCTGTCTCTCTCTCAAATGCACACAATATGACTCACATGCTAAACTTTCTTTTTCTTCTTGCACACACGGTGAATATACGCAGCCCCATATGTAAACACGTGTTGGTCACACTATAGGCTCCACGTGAGAGCGGCGCTGCACAGCTGTGCTTACTTTCCTCAAGTGTTTCTCAGGTTCTCAGGTCTCACACATACTGGAAGTGTCCAGAGCCGGAGTACTACGAGCGCAATCCTCCGTCCTCTTTCCCCCCAGTGTGACTCGTAAACAATAGCGCCTTTAAGGGGAGGTGGTGCCTAGACGGCGTGGGGAGGGGTTTTTCAGAAGAGTAGAAACATGTGCTCTTCAATCAAGAGGCTCCGCTGTGGTTTATAAATATCTGTACTGTAGCGCTGGGATGGATGGTTCAAAGCCCTCGGCCATATGTGTTCGGCCTGCTGGCTCCACACTGGAGTTAGTGTTGCTCGGATGTGCGGTTCCAGATGGTAAACTGCAAAAACTAACAAACTGTTATGCTGGGGGAACAATCTGTAATCATTATGAGCAGGTGAGGAGAGCAGACGATGATGTAGGTGGCATGAAATGACGAAGCCCCCCCTCATCTTTTGGTAATCACAGGTACGCTGAGAGATCTGTAAATGCCAATAAAGCAGCTGTGCTACCGTCTCTGGGCTCGTTTTTGGTTGTGTTGCTGTCTCCAGGGTTCCTTCTCCTCAGAGCCAATGAGAATGTGACGCTGAAAATGCCAGTGGGGGGGGGAGGGAGGGAGGAGAGAAAGTACAGTGGCTATAAGAACCAGATATTTGTCTCTGGACTTCTTCCCAGTTGTAAATGCCCCCTTTTGGGGGCCTCACAGTGTGTGTGCAGCTCCACCAGCAAGACAGGCCCTCCGAGTCTAAAAGGGGAAAATAGCAAAGGAGGTAGTGGAAGACACAATGCGGTCTTTATCATTTACACACGCCTGCCCGTCACTGACAGCTCAGAAATACCACCACTTTATATCTGCTGTCACGCCACGCTGCACACAAATACCAAAAATGACAGCAGACTTACTGTAGTTGTACAAACACAGCAAAAACACCTACACGCTTTCCTCCCTTTACATGTTAAACGTGAACACCGTGGAGGACGAGAAGTGCACATTTGGTTATGGATACAGTGAAAACAGAAGCTGTGCAGGCCTCTGGCAGTGTGTAGAGACATGTTGGGTGCACAAAAAGGGATAATCTGACTTAGAGGCTGGGCAGCATGATACCCTGAGGGCTCAAGGGGTGACAGAGTGCACTGAGAGGCAGAGGGGGAAAAAAAGAAAAGGAGAACAGATATTGGTCTCTGGGGTGTGCAGATGATACTTTACTATCAAATGTGGGCTGCACTTGTTAACAAAAAAAGGTCACATTTACTGCGTTATTTATATGACAACAACTGTGCATTATAAGGTTGTTAACTTTACAAGGAAAACGTCTCAAAGGGTTGAAGGATCGCAGTAGCTGAGATGAAAAAGAAAGAAACGCTCAGAAGACAAAAACAAATTCAGTATCACAAATAAAAAAGTTGCAGGAAAGGTGCCACTGCATGCATCAAAACCAAAACCAAAAAAAAAAAAGCATCTCTAGCTCTCATTAAAGGCAACAGTTAGATGAAATAAACTGTCACTGAGCATTACTTCCTTACACAACGTGACATTGAGCCTTTGAAACAACACAAAAGAGTTTGACCTTTGAATGCAGTAGTCTCTCATGCGCAACAGGCAGGAGAGACGCAGCGGGGACTGGTTTGTGTAATTGTTTGATGGATTATACAGTGAGATATGCCTCCAGTGCAAAGACCTACAACTTATCTGTTTAGCAGGACTGTGCAGAAATAATAATAATAATAATTTTAAAAAGCCTCCTTAAGTCAGAACAGGTGTAAATGCATAAGATCAAAAAAAAAAAAAAAAGAAGCAGAATATGATCGTAAACCTTGAAAAGCTGGGTGGAAATACTGTCTGGAAATGCACAAGTGGCAGGTTGTGTTGTGCAGCAATGTGGCTACTGCATTCATTAGCCTGATTTTAGCACAGATCCCTACAAAGGCAGCGTATTTCATGAGTGGCCTTGGGGGGTCACACCAAAAGAGGCCATCTGGTTCTCATTGTATTGCGTCCTTTTAAGAGATAATTAGCAATATTACAGAGTCAGCCATGAATACATAAACAGAATTGCCCATGAATCCACAAGTAGAGTTGTTAAAGAGGAAAAAAAAAAAAAAAAAGCACCCTGAAGAGGCTGCTCGGTTCAACTCCAAAGCCCTCTGAAAATCTTTTAAAGTAATCGAATTACCGCTCGTACAGTAAATCTAAGTCTGGAGTCAAACAGAACAAAGTGCACAAAGATAGGAAGGAAGCGGTTGTGAGGCCTACACGACAACTTCACCCTTTTCCCCAGTTAAATGTTATGTAAGGTGAAATCACGCTGCCTCTGAGAAACCTTTTTTTTTTTTTTTTTACAAAATGATGCTATTCTGACATTTCTAGGTGCAGCTATGAAGCAGGAAATACTTTCAGCACATATTCACCCCACGGGAAAAACTTTTTTCATGCATGCAACTTTTTCTTCGCCCCCCCCCTCCTCCTCCTCCTCCTCCAAACATGGCTAAAGCCTGCTCCCTCTTCCTTTTTTAAAGAGACGGTTTCCCTTTAAGCCGTGCAGAGCAGATGGTCCACAACAACTCTCGTGGAAATACCTGAAGTCAGCATATTCCCCTCGCTGTAAGCAGGCTAATCAGACATGCACACTATCCCCCCGTGTTATCAAACAAACAATGCAGTGCACATACCCATACACGCCAGCGTGCAACCCTCATAATCCAGTGTGGGGCTTGAGTTTTTTTTCACCCCCACTCTCGGGGTAGAAGGGATCGCTTAAAAAAAGAAAGCATGAACATTTCTTTGTCTGGGAATTCAGGGTCAGGTGATTGCCGACAGGAATTCTGGTTGGCTAGAGAGGACTTGCAAAATGTTGGCGACGAGCCAGGAGGCTGTCTTGCAAGCAGGGCTGGAAATTTGCTGCAAACCTCATCTTCACCCTCATATCCATAGCACAGAGTTCATTTCCATAGCTGGGGGAGGGGTCAGGAGAAGAATGGGGGAGGGAGAAACTGAGAGGGAGAGCGGCGGAGAAGTCCACTGTAACACAAGGCACATGAAAAAAAAAAAGAAAAAGAAAAGAAAAAAAAAAAAAGAGAGAAAGTGCAAGACGGCCGTAACCCTTTCAGCCACCACGTCGTCATCCCTCCTGCAGGAGTGTGCAACAGTAAAATCCTCTCCAGCAGGAGCACAACTAAAGCATATGCATCATATTAGTGCTCAGGAAAGAGCTTTGGTGCCAAAACAAATTAGCCTTTATGCAAATTAGAGCAAAGCTTCCAACACACCAGATAAGAAAAGGAGAGGAGAGGGGGGGTAGAAGAAGAAAAAAAACACAGCCACATTCAAAATTTGCATCTCACAAATCCCCTTAAATCTCAGCCTTGTAGAGCTTCAAGTGAATCCACCTCTGTTTTGAAGAAGTGAACTACCCACTTGCCTCGTATTTTACGGCATTTCACTTGTGGGACCCCGGCATGTCCTGCTAATTTGGCAATATTTCCTCCCTGGAGACACTTTTATGGCCGCTCCCTGAGCCGTCCCCCCTCGAGGAGAGCGGAGGGAGGCGGGAGAAATCGAAGACCCCTCGTTGATACTACGAACACTCCTCATTATGTAACAGATGAAGTCGTACTACATCACATTACTACCAGGAATTTCATTAAACAAAGTAGGCGACGTGGGGAAACTCACATTTGGAGAGATGAAATTTATGCACGATTAACGTCCCGAAAAGGAGCTTGGACGAGTTGTCACAAGGCAGGTTGTGTGATCCCTTACCTGCGTGTTACTGATAAACTAATCTGGAAGGATAAGTGATTTAAAAGTTCAAATGCTACTTCTTCAGACATTTGAACAAAAGCCAGTTTCACACATGCTACATGCAACATTGCTGGCTTGTTAGAGTGACTGTTAACGTTCCTCAGACAGTGACAGACTAAACACTAATAACTTAACACACGACTGACAACTCTGCCCACGTGTGATGACAGTCAAGCTACTACTTCATCAAGAGAAAAAGAAAAA